GGGAATGCAGATTGGTGCAGCCACTATGAAAAACAGTATGGGGGATCCTCAAAATATTAAAAATTGCACTACTTGACGACCCAGTGATTCTACTTCTGGGTATACAGTATATCTCAAGAAACCCACAACACTAATTTGAAAGAATATATGCACCCATGTGTTCATTGAAGCGTCATTTGTAATATACAAGATATAGAAGCAACCTAAGTGTCTATAATAGGTGAGTGGACAAAGATGTGGTACATATATATAATGGAATATTACTCAGACTTAAAAAAGAATGAAATATTGACATTTGTAGCAACATGGATGGAACTGGAGGGTATTACGCCAAGTGAAATAAGTCAGAGAAAGACAAATACCACATGATTTCACTTATACGTGGAGTCCAAAGAACAAAATAAACAAACAAAACATAAACCAACTCACAGATAACAGAGAAGAAGCTGATGCTTGACAGAGGAGAAGGAGGTTAGGAAAGGGGCAAAAAAAGTGAAAGAAATTAATATGCACAAATTGCCACTTATAAAAATATTTGCAGGAATGTAAAATACAGAAAGGGAATATAGCCAGTAGCATTGTAATAACTATGTATAGTGTCGGATGTGCACTAGTCTGACTTATCGAGGTGATCACTTTGTAAGTCATATAATATCTAATCACTATGTTGTAAACCTAAAACTAATATAATATTGCATTTCAATGGTAAGTTTACATTTTTAAAAAACTAAAAACATATAATCCAAGATGGTGGGAATTAGGTGGAAGATACACGAACCTCCTCCCAGGGGGGAAAAAAATAGAATTTGAACTAAATTATAGAAAAATCATCCTGAATAACCAACTGAAGACTAGCTGAAGAGAAGCCTTATAACCAAGGGCTTACAGAAGCAGCTACATTGAAACTGGAAAACCAGAAAAAGCATCCACATAACATCCAGCTGTGAAAAGATGCAGAATCTCTGTTCACCAGTGAGAGACAGCCAGAGATGCAAGCACCTCTTAAAGGGCCAATGCTCAAAATTTTGTGTACAGCAATTCACCTTGGGCTCTGGCAGAGGGAGGACAGAGTAGACTAGAGCTGTGTAAGGAGAGCAGGATGGTCAGCTACCAGGACCCCTGTGCTGAGTCATTCCCATATACTGCAGAAGCCATCTTTCTAGGGCAGAGCACGTCTCTCCAAGTGGCATCAGACTGAAGGGAAGTAATAGTCCCCTCCGCCCCCCTGCCAGCACTTCACCCTAAAGAGCTTGCACCTTGCTGAGGAGTAGAGATGGCGGCTCTTTCAGTGACTAAGCCTAATAGGCTGCATGGAGAGGCAGATCTCTGGATACTTGGAGATTTTTGCTGACCTGCACCAAGACACGGGGCTAGGAAAAGCCAGCCTCAGAGCACAGGGTCCTTTTCACATGCACGGAGGAGCTGACAGGCAGCGTCAAATCTCAGGGCCTTCTGCTGGACATTAAAAATAGTTATCAGAGTGTAACCCTGTCACAGTAGGGGGATTTAACACTCCATTGACATCAATGGATAGATCTTTCAGAAAAACAACAACAAAGTGGCCTTAAACAATACAGAGAGACCAGATGGAATTCATTGGTATGTTTTTAAATATATTTTTTACTGATTTCAGAGAAGAAGGGAGAGGGAGAGAGGGAGAGAGGAATATCAATGATGAGAGAGAATCACTGATCAACTGCCTCCAGCACACTCCCAAGTGGGGATCGAGCCCACAACCTGGGCATGTGCCCCAACCAGGAATCAAACTATGACCTCCTGGTTCATATAGGTAGATGCTCAATCACTGAGCAATGCCGGTCAGGCGTAATTGATAGTTTTTAAGCATTTTTCCCCAAAGCAGCAAACACATTTTTTCAGGAGCACAAGGAACATTCTCTAGACTAGACCACAGTTTAAGACATGACACATGTCTCAATAAATTCAAGAAGATTGAAATTACATCAAGCATCTTCTCCAAACACAATAATATGAAACTAAGAATCAATTGCCATGAAATATTTGAAAAACAAACCAATACATGGAGGCTAAGTAACATGTCCCTTCCCAGAGCACTCACATTAAATAAGAAATGACCTCCTGAGACAATAGGATGATGCATTTTAACTGCTCTAACTGAAGTTGACCTTGATTCTCCAATTCCCTTAACCCACCTGTTTTTGTTGAAGAAGATACCACCCCTCCTGCATTTATACATCTAAGGAAATCAACTGTCTTCTGCATAAAAGGCTCAGTGGTTACACCTGGGGCAATTTTTCCAACACCTGACTTTATTTCTAGGCCTACAACAGGAAATAGATGGCAATGCACACTGGATAAAGAGGTACAAGGGGTGTTCTGAGATAGCTTAAACACACACACACACACACACACACACACACACCCCACTCAAAACCATATCATTTTTTATCATTGGGAAATGGGGGCTATATATGTGAGAGAATTATAAAGATCTTAGGCCAAGGGTAAAGATACATATATCTCAATCTAGTAAAATTCCTTGATATAGGAGTATTCCCCTGGGATTCAGAATTTAATACATTGGCTCATGTATCCAGAAATGGAATTGATAGTCTGCTAAGGTGAGCAATTAAAGACTAAACTTAAATTAACATTGACTCATGGTCAATAATTTGGAAATGCCACCATTTTTGAAACACAGAAATGAAAAAAAAAAAAGAAAAAAAAACAACTATCGACAACCTCCTCAGCCCCTAGTCATCATTGTCCAGGGGACCTGATGCATTTGTAAAATGTAATGGTGATAGGGATAGAAACACCCTTAAAGAGTTCTATAATAATCACCATCAGTAGACCAGAGATGAGAGCATGAACACTACAGAGGAATTTAGTTCACTGATCTAAATTAGAGTAATAGTATAATATAGGATAGAAGCCCAGGAGTTCACACAAAATGATCAGAGATGAGATGGGGGCAATAATTAATATAAATTGAAGTTTAGGGTAATGATTAGTGTTTTAATCTGCAGAGATCTGTGGAAATGGCTAATTGTTCAAGGTGTTTCTAACAATGGAAGAGATGGGAAGCCAACTAATGTAGTTCACGTCTGATGAATAGCTATGTAAGTTACCAGTGTGGCGATACAAGGCCTCTTCCCCAATTTTCAGACCTGGACCAGTTCCCAAACCTGAAATTCCTTTACTGTGGAAGAAGATGCAAAATTTTGAGGAAGAACCTTGCAACATGGTCAATAGTATCTCCTGAGAATCCTAATTCAATATTTCCTCAGAAGGACCATTGGCATTTACCTAAGTCCCTACGCACTGCATAAACAAAAATACCTAACCTTCCTCTAAGCATTAGGTACTGTCTATAAACTTATGCTGACCTAATGAGATCCAAAATGACTTACTGATCAAAGTAGGGACTTATAGAGGTCACATATTAGATGGGGTCTTCTCTCAAGCCTGCCAGGGTTTGAGGTTATGTGAAACTGAACTCAGTTCCTGTATAGTGGTTGGACAATGTCTTCTTTAGTCTCATTTTTATTATATTTTCTTTTAGGGACTCAACTCAAAGTTCACTAGCCCAGTAGTCTTTGGTGGTCCAAGAACTGTAATTTTGCCCTCTAGCTGCATGCGTCTCATCCTTTGACTTTTCAGTGGTCTCTTCCAGATCACCATGTTTTCCTAGGGAGGTAAGTGCTCCTCAAATACCAGATCAACCTCTCCGTGGTTTCTGTTATTCCTGGACCCTAATCCTTTGTTAGGATCCTGATGTCTTCCAACCATTTTTTTTTTCCGATTCTGTAATGTAGCTTTGCCAATTCTACCTGGTGTGTGAGTTGATCCAAATTTTCCAATCCACCATTCCCAAAAGATAAAATTAAATGTTTCAATTTATGGATAATATACATAATGAAAAGTACACAAATAAAAGTGTATAGCATAATAAATTTTTACAAATTAAACAAGATAAATTGAATATTATGAGAATACCATAAGATTCCATTTTGTCTCTTCCCAGGTATTATTTTCTAAAACATAACCTCTATCCTGACTTCTATCACCTTAGGTTGTTTGTGTGTGTGTGTGTGTGTGTGTGTGTGTGTGTGTTTGTTTTTTGTTTTTTTATTTCAATATTTATTTTATGTTTCCAAATATTTAAAAAGTAAAGATTCTTACACCAATGATCTCCAATGAGACCATGCAAAGCAATTCAAAGGTATGCAACCATCAGCCCCTGCTTCAGTTTTGCTGCTTTATACCGCTGTGGAATCAACACCAGAAAACTGAATGGAAGGTGCCTGCATGAGAAATTCCTCCCATTTACAAAAAAGGAAAACAAAAATCATGCAGGATGCTTGCTACGTGTGTCTGTAAGTCAATTTCAAACTTGCTATTTTTATTTAGGAGGTACATGGGACTGAAAATGTTAGCTGTCCAATTTTATCCAACTGTTGCTAGGCCTGCCTAGGACCAGCCAGTAGTGTATGGGTTCTTGACTGCATGCAGGAAATAGTTCAGAACATGAGTTCAGGTGAATTTGAGGGTATGTTTATGAAAGCTGGGGGCAGAGAAACGAGGAATTGTTTAGCATAGAAGAAGCAACAGGAGAACCTAGCTCACCGAAAAGTCAAAGAAAGAGGGCCAAGTTTGCAATTAGCAAAACTGTGTATAATGCAACATACAGTTGTCACACTTTAAATGTCAAATGAGGAGTTATTCACTACTATTCTGGAATCCAGTCTAGCAAAATTAGAATAAAAGGAGATTTATTTCTTTTTTTAAAAAATTTATTTTTATTGTTTAAAGTATTACATGTTGTACCATAGTACATATATCTCCTCCCCCCTTCCATTGACCTTCCCCCAGTTCCCCCTCCCCCCTGTCGCATGCCTTCATCCCTTCCCCCCCCCCCCCCCCCCCCCGGTGTCTTTTGTCCATTGGTTGTGCTTATATGCATGTATACAAATCCTTTGGTTGATCTCTTTCCCCTCCTCTCCAACACTCCCCTGCCATCAGAGTTTGCTTAGGCTTATTTTTCCTTCCTTCAAGAATCTGTTTTTCATCCATGATTTCTGTGCCAAGTAGAGCTGATGTCCTAAACTCCTGGGGTGTTGGATGCTGGCTTCTGTGGGAAAGGCAAGGCTGGGTGCATGGGGAGAGGAGACGGCCCAGCTGGAGCTGTGGGAGAAGAAGACAATCTTGATCTCAAAGAAAATAAATCAAGAAAGGGGGAGTCTGACAGGGTCAGCTTTTTCCTTAACTGAGCCCATCTGTCTTTTTGCATCTGTGATAACATATCCTTGGAATGTCTGGGTAACTTGTAACTTCCCTTTTTCCGGACCCCTTGGGGCACAACCTAATGTGCCAGGGCGCCAGGACAGAGACCACAAATTCCTTCATTGTTCTTGGTATCCTATTAATTGTGGACTGTTAACTATCCTGCAGCCACCTAGGTATGTGTCTATCATTTTACTTTCTATCCAATCCAGAGGTTCCCCCCGCCCACCCCCGTTTTCTTCCTCCTGCCTCTCTAATCTATCACCAGTGGATTTCATGTAACCACCTCCGTCCCCTCCTTGGATGGCAATCTATGAAATAGATGAAAACCCGCCATTCTCTGGAGCACTATCGCAACCTGTTGAGATTCTGCTTCCCAGCAATTGTCCACAGATTGGCTCAAAAAAGTTCTTTTTAGAAAACAATAGAGGAAAAAAGAGTGATTTGATAAGTAGTTGAAGAAACAGAACAAGAAAATCTCACCTCTGCTTTTGAAACCACCGACCAACCACAACCAACACAATCAGGGTAACCATTATAGCCAAACAGGTCAATACTGTGAGGATGTGGTATCCATCTGGTTGGGGATAAAATAAGAATGCCAATTTATGAAGAGTCTCTCTTCAACCTCAGGTAATGTTTCTTATTCCACAGGGGTGGGGCCTTCCACGCCTTTTCCTCTGTATTTTCTAGAGCTCCCCTTTCAGTTCTGCCTGCTCTATGCTCCTGATCTCAACTCACGCTCTCGCTCTCTCACTCTCTCTCTCTCTCTCTCTCTCTCTCTCTCTCTCTCTCAACCACATCATTAGATCCTTCCTTTTTTCTTTAAATATATTTTTATTGATTTTTTACAGAGAGGAAGGGAGAGGGATAGAGTTAGAAACATCGATGAGAGAGAAACATCCATCAGCTGCCTCCTGCACACCTCCCACTGGGGATGTGCGCACAACCATTGTACATGCCCTTGACCAGAATCGAACCTGGGACTCTTGAGTCCACAGGCTGACACTCTATCCACTGAGCCAAACCAGTGAGGGCTCTTTTTCCTCTTTACTACCTCTAACCCTCTCCTGTTTTCTTGAAATTTAATTGCTTTCATTCTTCACCCTTTTTTACTTGGATCTTCCCACTTTCATCCTCTATGCAGGGCATTCCTATCCATTTCCCCAGGGGCTCTCACTAGCCCTGGAACCACGGGGGAGACTCTCATTTCCCCCAGTGGCCCTCGCTCTTCCTCACCCCATGTAGGGTGCGGTTATAGGGTTATAAAGTCGAAAACAGGCCCCAGCTTAGAGAGCACAGTCCTCCAAGCATAATTAAGCTTGATCTTGTGACTATTCCCTAGATCTTTCCTTCTAGCTAGTTGGCTGTGGGAGAGGCAGCAAGTGCTGCCAAAAACAAGTGAAACTTACAAGAACATTGTCAATTACCTTGTTTACCCCTGACTATAAATAAAGCATCAGCTTTGCAGTCTGGATCTGTTCTGTGGCCTCAGCCAGACACAGAAGTTTCACCTAGACCCAGCTTATTCTCTCGTCTGTCTTTTTCTTCATCCTTCACCAGCCCCTCCCTCAGGCTCGCCAAACCCAACCCCAGTGCAGGATTAGATCATGGCCTCCTTCCTCACCCCAACGCAGGATTAGATGATGGCATCCTTCTTCCTTGCCCCAGGGGATGATTAGGTCATGGCCTCCGAGGCTGCTGTGTTTCACTCGACAACTCAGACCAGTGGCCTCTCTAGCGGCCACGTCCAGGGTCACTCGAAGATACCACGTCCCGTCAGCATTGGGCAGGACGTCCCCTTGCTGAGTGTCTGGCTGCACCTGCTGCCCCCGCATCCACCGCACCCGCACGGGCTTGGGATGGAAGCCAGACACGTGGCACACCAGCAGCAGACGCCCAGGACCAGGACCAGCGCCTTGGGACACCCAAGCCTCTGGCTTCACTGGAAAGAGGAGAAGAAGCGGACTTTAGTGAGCCAGGAGTCTGAGCAGTTTGAGTAACCACTTCTGTCTCTTCTCTTGGAAACTCATCCTCTAGCCTCTTATTTCGTGCTTCAAAGAGATGATAAAGAGTTAAAATACAACAACTAAAGCACTAAGGAGGTGGGAATGAGGAGGAAACTGGTCTTGCCAGGCGTGTCAGGCCATAAAAACTGTGAACAATGCACTGCCCTGGGGGTGGGCGGAGGGGGTGTTATAGCTTCAATCTGACAAGAAGGGGGGGGGGGGGAGTGGGAAGTAATCAACCAAAAGACAGATCACTCAATATGGCCTGGGAACCCCAACACCTGGAGGCCTTCCTGTAAGCCCAAGAAAGGGGGTATTACCATGACTACAAGACAAAGACCCCAGAAGGTTATAAAAAGTGAAGCACTCTGCATATTTTTTCACTCTGATTTGGAAATTATTCCCGAGTCCACTGGTGTTAACAAAGGGATCCCTATGCCAAAACAGGTTTGGCTTAGTGGATAGAGCGTCGGTCTGCAGACTGAAAGGTCCCAGGTTCGATCCGGTCAAGGGCATGTACCTTGGTTGCAGGCACATCCCCAGTAGGGGTTGTGCAAGAGGCACTGATCAATGATTATCTCTTATTGATGTTTCTAACTCTCTATCCCTTTCTCTTCCTCTCTGTAAAAAAATCAATAATATATATATATATATATATATATATATATATATATATATATATTTTTTTTTTTTTTTTTTTTTAATGGATCCCTCCCTTTTGGTATTTCTTTGGTCTTCCACAAAAAGAGGAGGGGGAGTTGGCTGACCTTGCCGCTCCAGTTCTGCCTTCCCTGCTGCAGCGATGCCGGCCAGAAAGCGAGGGCAGGCGTTACCGAGAAGATTCTTGGCAACTTCTTTAACAACTCGGTAGCGATTGAGCACTTTGCAGACATCCCGAGCCCGACTTCCTGCTCCTGGAGCTGGCCTCCAGGAATACCCTTGGAAACTTAGGAAGTCGGATCCTTGGTATGCCCCATATAAGAAGGCTTCTGAGGCCTTCCCAGGACGCATTGTGCAGCCGGATGACATCTGGATCACAAAGGGATCTGGGGGTGGACAAAGAAGAGAGCGTCCGTCATGTGGGAATAATTGTTGGGAGGGAAAGGGAACAGTCTGTAAAGTAAAGGGAATCAAGGGAAGAAAAATGATCTGGCCAATCACATGGGATACTCGTGCTGGGATGAAAAGGAGGGGGGGGGATTGTGGGAAGAAAATGTGAAAAGAATAGAGGCACGTAAAAATAATTAATCTGACAAGTATCACAGGATTGCACTCATATGTGGAATCTAAGTGACAAAATAAACTGAAGAATGGAGTGGGTCCAGAGGCATGGAAGCATGGAACTGAGTTCAGAATCTTGGAGGGAAGGTGGGGGAGGGTGGGAAGTAATCAACCAAGAACCTTGTATGGGCCAGTGAGGGCCTGGGGCGGGGAGGGGGGGAGGGGGAGGCGGGAAGGAGGGGAGGCCTGAGACAGGCTTGGGGGGGGGGGGTCAATGGGGGAAACAGAGGGACATATGTAATACTTTCAACAATAAAGAATTGGGGTTGTGGAATATGATTTAAAATTAATAATTAATTTGAAGGAGCTAGATGGGAAGGCTTAGAAACATAGCAGACTTGTCAGGAAGAGCTTACTTGGGAGGCTTGGGTACTGGCAGGCCACGTGAACACTCAGGCCAGGAAGAAAGGAGAGCAGACCCTGGCTGGGAAAAGCTGAATCTGAGGCCAAGGGTGAGGAAAGAACATCAAAAGGAGCCAGAATGTGAGGGTACATTCAGGGCTGTGAGGAGATATGTGCATGTAGGTCCTTCTGTGTTGGTGCTGGGGTGGAGGTAGAGCGGAAATGACAGGAAGGGTGAAGCAAAGAGGAGAGAGTGAATGACGAAGACAGAACACAAGGTCGGGAAGGTTGAATAAAGGTCGGAGCCCATATACCATCTTCACCTTAGCGGACCCCTCGGGCAAAAACCAGCTCGGAAGAGCAAACTCACATTCCAACTGAAACTGACTGGCACGCGCCTGAACTTGCCCAGGAAAGAGATGGAAATACAGCTGCAATATCGCATGGATGCCCTCCAGCTCCTCCTTGGTAAAATTGCCCTGGGACCAGGGCAACATGTAGCTGATGGTGCCCAACGCTCTGTCCCAGCGATGAGTCTGCACTTCACCCAGCCAGCCTGAGCCCTGGGTGCTCTCCCAGCTGTGGTTGGCGAACGAGGAGATCTGGAGCAAGCGAAAGGAGAGGGGTTCTTCTCCTGCCGGATGATGGGTTCCCAGGACATGGCTGGCTGAGAGACAGAGAAATGACAACGGAGAGAGGGTGAAAGGATGGAGGAAGATGGGCACATATGGGAAAAGAGAAATGCAGATAAAGTTTGCACATATTCTCATCTCCCCTTCCCCCTGACCCAATTTCTTCTCCCCAAAATCAGAGAGGGAAACTGAGGGGTCAAGGATATGTTGCCCAGAACGAGCCTGGCATGCAGATTAGAAGGGCACCCATGGGGAGTGTTACTCCCTGCCCCCAGATCCTCCGCAGAACCTTTCTCCACTCTGCTGTACCCAACCACAGGTATCATTCCTCCTGGCTTCTCCTTACCCTCTGGGCTTGGCCCAACACAGAGAATTCCCTGGAAGAGCAGGGGCAGCAGCAGCACTGAAGCTTGTTGGGTAAAGGATGCCATAACAGGACAAGTGCTCCTCAGAACTCGGAGACCAGCTTCCCCTCCAAATCCTTTTGCGCTCTTATCTAACTTCCCCTGGCACACAGACAAACACACCTCTCCTTCTGCTCACTTCTCTGTCAGAGAAACCTCACCACAGCCTCCCTCGCCACAGCCTCCCACAAGCTCTCTCATTTCCCCACATCTAGACCACTATCTTAGCCTCCACATTTTTTTCTGCTCCTGTCTGAGTCCTAACCTCCCCATGGTGCCAACCACTATGAAATGAGTCTGGCTTCCAAGGAGGTCTGCAAGTCTGTGGTCTGGCTGGGAAATTTTGTCCCCCTTGGCCTTGGAGAAATCAAGTCTATACTTGGGTTCTCATATCCTTTTCTACAAAAGGAGGTGAGAGAAGGTCCTTGGTAGTGGCCAGTGACCTTTCCAGCAGTGCCCCCGCTCCTATCTCTCTGCGGTCTCCTCCCCCTCCTATCAGCATCCCAGCCTTGCTTTCTTCTTTATCCTCTGGGTATCATTTTACCCTTTCCTCTAGAGTCTATCGTCATTCTTCTCATTCCCCTGCCTGTTCTCCTTATCCCCTCTGACTCTATCTTTTTATTCTGCTCTTCACAAAGACATTATTAGAAGATGCGAGGCACTTTGAGTGTAGCTGTATCATCACAGACAACTCTCCATACTCCATAATGAAAAGGGAGCAGCAGTAGCAACACAGATGATCAGATCATTGAAGGAAGACACGGTTCTTCTCAGTTTCCCCAGTTAGACACACTGTGGCCGTTGAAGGGAACCATGAGTGGCATTGACCTGGAAGTGGTGTGCTGATAGACAGACATTCTCACTCATGTTGTTTGAATGGGTCTGTTGGGAATACACAGGGAGAGGCCTTGGAACCCCATTCTACCCTAAGTGAGTTGAGTGTGTGCACAGGTGCTCCGAGTTTGAAGAGCAGCCATGCAGCTTTCTGCTGACAGTTCATGGCCTGGGAGCTCAGGTGTCCCCTGGGTGGTATTTGATTAGAGAGTTTTGTATGAGGCAGAGAAGTGACTCAGGGGACCAGAGTGCTCATGGGAGAATTATTACTGTGATGAGTCTTTATTTTTTCCCTTTCATTAATGCTTGCTATGGCAGCCTGGAGATAGTTTAACTATTATTTCTTTGTTTGGTTTTCATATAAGCATTCAACTGGCATTTATTCAGAGCTCTAAAAGTATGCCAGCCACTAATATTTCAGATAGATGTCCTTAGGAGAAAACAACAACAAAAACCCAGCCTAAAACCTCTACTCTTCTGCTTATAGAGGACTCACAGAATTGTGCTCCCAGTATGGAGAAAAGTTTACACTCAGTCTCACCCGTTGTCTGAATTTTAAGACATTCGCATTAGATAACTCATGTTCAATGCTGCGGAGAAATATTTGAGAATTCTGAGGTAATGTGAGAATCTTAAATTTTTTTGTTCAGAAAAATTATCATTATTTTATATGGCCAAAATTAATCAATATTTGAACACTCCAAAACTCAAAGAATATGTCACATAATTCTTCTTATGAAATGAATGATCTGAATCAAACCAAAAATTTACCTGAATAATGTAAAGAATACTGATATAAATTTTTTTAGAGAGAGTGAAAGGGCAAGGAGAAGGGGATGGGGAGAGAGAGAGAAGGGGAGAGAAACAATGAGAGAGACATATTGATTGGTTGCCTCCCAGAGGTGCCTAACCAAGATCAGGGTAGAACCTGCAACCCAGATACTTGCCTTGACTGGGAATTAAATTGCAATGGGCTGATGCTCCAACCACTGAGCCATGCCAGCCAGGGCAATTTTTATAAATGAATCAGAGTACATCAAACCAAAAGACTTCTGCACAGCAAAAGAAAACATCAACAAAATGAAAGGCAACCAACTAAAGATTTGGAGATATGTGCAAACAAAATCTCTGATAAGGAGCTAATTACATAAAGAACTCATATAACTCAACAACAACAACAACAAAACAATTTTTAAAAATTGACAGAGGACTTGAAAAGACACTTTTCCCAAGAAGGCATTCAAATGGCCAACAGATATATGAAAAGATGCTGAACTTCACTAGTCAAAATGAAATGCAAATTAAAATCACAATGGGTTGCCACCTCACACTTGTTAGAATAGCTATTATCAACAAGATAAGAAATAACTTGAGTTAGAGAGGGTATAGAGGAAAAGAAGCTATCATACTGGCAAAAATGTTAATTTATACAGCCACTCTGGAAACAGTATAGAGTTTCCCCCCTCACCCCCCCCCCAAAAAAAAAAAAACAACAACAATAATAATAGAGGTCAGAGAAATGGTGCAGTGAGAGGTCACCTTGGTTTCTCCCCTTGAAGTTTCCGCTATTTAAACAGCTGTAATTCAACAAAGAGTTCCCTTCTCAACCCTTAAACACACCTGAGAGAGCTGCACAATGAAACACCTGAAGGAGGGCAAGGGGAGCAAACCAGGGAGCTGGGAGAGAGAAGAGCTAAGTGGTGCAGGGGATGAATCCCTGAGCTTGCAACCTGGAGCTCACTGTAAGTCTCAGCCCACAGAGGGAAGGGATTGGGTTGTCACTGGCACTCCCTTTGGAGAGGAACAGAGCAATACAGTGAGATTCCTAAGGAAGTGGTCAGTGTAGGCTGCAGCTGAACCCAGGGACCTGGGCAAGCACAAAGAACAGACGTATGGCTATTGTTGTCTGACAATTGGCATTTCAGACTGAGGAACAGAGCCACCAAGCCTGGCTGCCTCGCATCACTGCTCCTCTCACCCTCCCAGAGCTAGCAGCAGGGCCCAGAAGAAGCGGTAGCAGTGAGAGTGGGATTGCAGAGTGCATTATCTGCAAACTTGACGGCTAATACTACAGAAACATTTTTCCCTGAGCAAGAGCTGCACTCTGCAACCAATTCCAGGGTCAGTGGAGACACAAAGGTGAGACCACTGAGGTCTGCCAGTCACCATTCCTGGATATAAAGCAACAAAGATAGCAGCCTGCTTCTCCCAGCTAACCCCACACCCACCCACTGTGCTTACCTGCCAGCAGTGTCTAGCTTCAGCAGACAGCATAGGGATGTCACAGATTGGGAAAGCTAATGTTCACCGCATTCTCTTGCAGAGTTTGTCCCCTGACACTGAAGCAACCTAGACACAGAAAAGATGTCCAACTTCCCAGAAATCACAGGACATTTTCCACCAACTCACAGAGATCTGAAAAGCCAGAGCAGTTCAAGAGAACTAAAAAACCTGTGATTCAGTGTCACCTACTAGAAATCATCAGACTTTTCTTGAATCAATCTACTAGGGTAGTGCCATGCATACATCGATACCTAGACAGAAAAGAAATCCATCAAACACCATGAATAACCAAGATAATTAGGCAGCTCAGAAAGAAAAAATTTTAAATCTTGAGAAAATGAACTTAAAGACATAAAAACAAGTGATTTAAGTAAAAAAAAAAAAATTCAATATTGCAGTTACAAAAAGCTCAGCAAGATACAAGAAAACACAGATGGGCAATTTAATGAACCCAGAAATAAAATCAATGAACAAAACTAGTACTTTACTAACAAGATTAAAACTTTAGAGGAAAAAAAAAAAAAGAACCGCATAGATATTCTGGAGATGAAAAACTCAATAAAATAAATATAGAATAAACCAGCACTCTTAAGAAATGTAGTTGTTCAGATGAAGAAAAGAATTAGTGCTATTAATACAGAAATCTAGAAATGATGCAGGGCAAAGAAGAGAGATACTGGAAATTTTTTTTAATGAAAGAACTCTATAAGAACTATCTGACTCCATCAGAAAGAGCAATGTAAGAATAATGGGCAGATAAAAAAAAAAATAAGAAGAGAAATTGGAAAGGAAACAGAGAACCTACTCCAAAAAATATAGTTGGTGAGAAATTTCCAAACTTATGGAAAGAACTAAATCCTTAAATCCCAGAAGCAAATAGAACACCTAATTACCTCCATTTAAAAATGCCTTACTTAAGGCACATTATATTAAAACTGTTAAAAAGTAATAACAATGAAAGAATTACCAAGGTAGCCAAGAAAGAAGACAGTAACCTAAAAAGGAAATCTCATTAGATTATCATCAGATGTCTCAAAAGAAATCCTACAAGGGAGGGGAGCTGGGAATAAAATATTCAAACTACTTAGAGAGAGAAATTACCAGCCAAGAATAATATACCCAGCAAAGTTATCCTTTAGGTATGAAGGAGAAATAAAACATTTTCTAGACAGACAGGGAATTTGCCACAGAAGACCTCCATTGCAAGAAATGTTCAAGGTGGTTAATATAACTGAAACAAAGAACAAAAGAACAAAAGGTCACAAAACTACATGAAGATTACCCACAGGCAGACAGAAGCATGATATTACAACCCTTTTTTAGAATAGGGCACTGTACTGTACACTTAAATATCACACGAAGGCAAAAGCAGGTAATAGCATTTTTAAAAAGGAAGAAGACAAAAGCTACTCAAATTTAGAAATGAACACATAACATAAGTAGGGATAATCTGTGACAACAACAAAAGCATAAAAAAAGAGAAGTAAAAGAATGAATTTGTGAAATGGGATGGTGATTACATGCATTCAGAAGAACAAAGAATACTGTCCATATAAAATTTTCTTTTACATAAACCTCATGGTAACTGGACACACACACAAAAAAAAAAAAAAAACACCCAGAACTAAATGTAATTGGACTAAGCTCACCAATAAAAAGGCATAGATTTGATAACAAACAAAACCAACCTAAACATATGCTGCCTTAAGGAGACACATCTCAGCTGTGAAAACAAATGTAGACTCTAACTGAAAGGGCAAAAAATAATAATTCTCCAGGCAAATGGTATCCACAGGAAAGGAGGTATAGCATTACCTATATCTGACAAAATAAATTTCAAGATAAAAAAGGTAACAAAAGACAAAGATATACATTTTATAATGACAAAAAGAACAATATATTAAGAAGAC